TGAGCCACTCTAGGCGCCCTAATATATATGATTTCTTGCTCTAGGATTCAGACGAAGGCAATTTTACTTTTTAATTTCAAAAAATATTTTATTTTATTTAAAAGATTTTAAATTTCATTAATTTACTTTTAGAGCTGTTGCTTTTAAGTATTTGGTAAACAGGTGTGGAGAGTGGCAGGCCTACATCTTCATTTTCTGGAACGCCTTGATAGTCAGCCTGAAAACCTTGTTAAACAGTAGACTGTGCATTACGGTGGAGATGGGGTGGGGGGGGCGAGGTACCACCTTTGAAATCTGTCTACAAGAGAAAAGAAACGAAAACAACAATTTCAAACAAGGTTCCACCAAGCTAACAAAGGTGGAGGCCGATCCACACAGGTGGAAGCCTAAGGCCAGAAAGATGCCTTGGGGATATGACTCACATTCCAAGCTCTGAACCAACCAAACGCATTGGTGAATATTCCTGTGAGGAATGTCTGACACCTGAGACTTTGATCTTCCTCTTGTGGTCCTTTTATGAAGAGATTGTGTGGAATTTGTCACTAGTGGGCACTGGCTCTTAGTTCAGGCTGGATTCTGACGTGTCCTGATTGGAAAGACTTTTTCTTTTTTTTTTTTTTTAAGGATTTTATTTATTTATTCATAAGAGACAGAGAGAGAGAGAGAGGGAGAGGGAGAAGCAGGCTCCCCGCTGAGCAGGGAGCCCGATGTGGGACTCGATCCCAGGACCCTGGGATCATGACCCGAGCCGAAGGCAGGCGCTTAACCATCTGAGCCACCCAGGCGTCCAAGGAAAGACTTTTTCATTGGCCCAGTCAGTGATGGCTAATTGGTGGGTCAATGGCTCAAGGGGTGATTGAGACCACAGACAGCCTAAGTGGAATGAAAGGATAATTTGGCGGCGGGGGTGGGGGGGTGGCGGGGGGAGAAGAGAAATAAGAGGGAAAGAGAGAAAAGGAAAACTCAGGGTGGGTTTATTAGCTTCGCTGCATGCACAGAGGGTAATTTGTGAAAGAAAGGGGGCAGCAGAAGAGAGGTGGGGAGGCCAGAGAGGCAGCCTACAAAGCAGGCCCCCGAGACCAGGGGCTGGGCTCGCAGCCAGGGGTGCCCAGACCTGGGAGGCCCAGGCCTCTCTGCTTTGTGGAGCAGGCCAGGCAAGCTCAGAGGAACAGATACCCTTAAGTTTGGGGGAGTTGATGTTCCCCTCCTCGGGCTTGCATTGTGCCCTCTCAGTCGGGCTCTGAAGGGAAAAGGAGCCGCAAGACACGAACGAGGAAAAACACATCACGGTCTCATTTGTTTCCAAACTCTACAGCACTTTGAATTTTCTTTTCTTTTTTTTAAGACTTTATTTATTTATTTGAGAGAGAGCGAGAGCGAGCAGAAGCAGGGAGAGCAGTAGGCAGAGGGAGAGGGAGAAGCAGGCCTCCCGCTGAGCGGGAAGCCCGATGCGGGGCTCGATCCCAGGACCCTGGGATCATGACCTGAGCTGAAGGCAGACGCTTAAGCCACTGAGCCACCCAGGCGCCCCAGCGCTTTCAATTTTCAAAGAAGTTTTTCCCAGTTTTATTAAGACATAAGTTACATAGAGTCCTGGATCAATTTAAGGTGTACAGCATAATGATCTGACTTCCATCTATTGTGAAATGTTTACCACAGTAAGTTTAGTTACCATCCATCATGTCCTAGAGAGACAGAGAAGAAAGGAAAAAGACAAAAAGAAAAATAAGCAGTTTGTTCTTTGTGATTAGAAGTCTTAAAATTGAATCTCTTAACTGGCATAGATACCATAAGGTGGTGTTAAGTATAGTCCTTAGGCTACATTAGAGTCCTGGTACTTACTTATCTTAAAACTGGAAGTTTTTACCTTTTGACCACCTTCAGGCAGTTCCTCCAGCCAACCCCTCTAAAAGTGGTCACAAGTCTGGTCTCTTTTTCCATGAGTTGGTTGGGTTTTTTCAGATTCCCCACATAACTGAGATCATAACGTGTTTGTGTGAAGAAGAGCTTAATGGATGTGCCCCCAAGTGCAGTAAGAGCTGTTTCATGAATCCGGTATTAGAAATACGGAAGGACTATCAGAGTATACCTCAGCTAGGCTACCTGGCATTTATGTAGATTTGGCCTCCGGTAAACTTGGATCCCCCCAAAATGAGGTCCACGGCACTGGTGTTTTTAGACGGCATATTCATGCAGCAGAAAGACCAAATACTAGGATGGCAGAGGGGAAATGAGGCAACAGAGAGAGTAGAGGCCCCCTTTGTGTCAAGTGACATTTGCAAACCGGGAATGTCTACAGATATTAAATACAAAGAAATTCCACTACCTAGGATGCGGAGAGGACAGTGGAGCCCAGAGCACAGGTTTTATCTGTAGGGTTCATAGTTGGCAGATACTAGGGAGGAGCCATTTTGTGACTCCTCACCCACATGGTGGTTGACTGTCTTCCTGCCATGTCAGTTTCACCCTCTTGCCTTAAGAATACTGTATGGTTGCACTTATATGTGGACTCTCTTTTTTTTTTAAGATTTTATTTATTTATTTGACAGAGAGAGAGAGAGAGAGAGAGATCACAAGTAGGTAGACAGGCAGGCAGAGGGAGAAGCAGGCTCCCTGCTGAGCACAGAGCCCGATGCGGGGCTCGATCCCAGGACCCTGGGATCATGACCTGAGCTGAAGGCAGATGCTTAACCATCTGAGCCACCCAGGCGTCCCATATATGTGGACTCTTAAAAACAAACTAATGAACAAACAGAGCCAATACAGACTCATTTACAGAGGACAAAATGGAGGTTGCCAGAGGGGAGGGGGTGGGGGCATGGGAAAAATAAGTGAAGGGGATTAGGAGGTACCAACTTCAGTTGAAAAATAAATCCGGTGCGGGGATGAAAAGGACAGCGTAAGGAATATAGTCAATAATATTGTAATCGTTTTGTATGGTGACTACACTTAACCGTGGCGAGCATTTTGCAGAGAAGCGTCGAATCACTATGTTGTACACCTGAGGCGAATACAGTATTGTATGTCAACTGTCGCTCAGTGAACAACAGAAAAGAGGATAAGGGATGGGATGGGGCTCTCCTGGTTGAGTAGAGGGGCCTCGGGGGCCCTGCCGCGCTGGGCAGCAGGGGTCCTGTCCAGGGTGCTGGAACCGTAGCCAGAGCGGAGGGAGCTGCCCGGGGGCTGAGCCCAGGAAAGCCTGGAGGGTGGTGCGGGCTGGAGGCTGCAGAATCCACCACCACGGTGACGGCGGTGAGCCTCTTTGCTCCCGATCTGTTGGCTGGACAAGGATTTTACGAACTTAGTAAATCTGGTCCTAGTTCGTGTAAACATGCCTTGTCCCCAACGTCTGTAATACTCAGGTAGTGTCCAGCGCTTCAGCTTCCTCCTGTCCCAGCAGGACCAGCCACAGGCTCCCGGACCCTCCATGCCCCAGCCTCGCTCACAACAGCATCTTTTTCACTCTGAAGCGGTTTCAGAAGATGAGCGACCCTTCAGTCATCCTGAAAGGAATGCTGCTGTTGTTGAAAGATCCGGCACGTTCCTGTGGATGACGTGATTACTCTTGGTTCAGGATGGGCTTTTCAAAACGGGCTTTGTTCCCCTCAGCAGGACTCTTGGACGATGCTGAGCTTCCCCCATAAGCAGGGTGACCCCTGCCTAGTGACTAGGGGCCAGGGGCAGCTGGACAGCTGCTGGTCAGCTGTGAGGACACAGACATCCCAGGTGTAACAGCCACGGCGGGGACAGAGCGCCGTTCCTCAGCTACACCTGCTGCTGAGAACGGGGAAAAGTAATAGGCAAGGTGGGAGGACAGAGTCAAAGCAGAGAGCCGAGCCAGAGCCTGGCACAGCGTGGCACAGCGTGGGTGCCCTCTCGGGGTGAGCTGCAGGGGGGCCCGTGGCCCTGGCTTCCCTAAGCGATTTTAGCAAGAAGGAAATAGCTCCCCTGATGCAGTTTCAAAGCTTAAGGGCATAGAGAGTAAGTAGCCTGCTTGTTTTTTCATGTACGACATCCAGTGCTCAACGTACTAAAACGATCCCTTTTTCTCTCTGATTGAAGGTTTGGTTTAAGAATAGGAGGGCCACGTGGAGGAGACATCAGAGGGCACTGAGGTTCAGAAACATGCCCCCCAGGGCCATGGTCCCCCCCAGGGCCATGGTCCCCCCCGTGGCCATGGTCCCCCCCGTGGCCATGGTCCCCCCCGTCATCATCAACGTGGGTGGACCCTGCCATGCCTTCTTCATTCCGGAGCCGAATTGCCTACGCGTGGTCCCCGAGCCGCGGCCGGTGGGACCGCCTCAGCCTCCCATGCCGCTCTTTCCTGTTGTCTTCTTGCCTCCTGTGCCCTGGGTTCCTCCACCCCTCCCTCCCTGCGGCTGCCCTGCTGTGGTCCCGCCCAGGTTCCTACCGTCCGTGTTTTTCTTCTAAGCCCTTTTCCCACGGAATGGCCTCCGTGACGGTTTGTTCCCACGGTGCTTTTGAGCCCAGCCCCATTCTGTGTAGCTCGCCGCCAAGAGCAGTTCACTCAATGTATGCAAGAGAAGTGCAAATTCACGGACCCTTATTTGGGGGCACCTGCTGTCTTTTCAATAAAGTTAAGCAATTCACGCTCGGCGTATTTGTTTTGCGCGTGGTACGGGGTCGGTGCAAGTGATGGACGGCGCCGTTCCTCCAGAAAGGCAAGGAGGCCTGCCGCTTTCATGCAGCCGCGCCCCTGAGCCACCATCAGGAGGCCACGGCCCTCTCCGAAGTTCCCCAAGCGCCCACGGCCGGCTTCCAAAGGCCCACCGTGCCCTGCAGCACCCCATCTTCCCCCGCACTCCCCCCCGCCCCCACCCCGTGCCCCAGCGGGACCGCGCCGCCGTGCAAGACCGGGTGGCGTCAGCCTCCAGGGAGAGAACGGTGTGCTTGCAGGCGGGGCTGAGCCGCAGCCGCGGGGAGGAGCTGAGGCCCACCCGGGACCCTTCTGGAGGGGACACTTCTAAGGGGCTACTCACGGGGCTCCCGGAGAAGCGGCAGCCGGGCGTGCAGCTAGCTGCTGGTGCTCCGCAAGCTGCGTCCGGTGCCGGCCCTTTGGGCGGAGGAGACGCGGCGACGGCATTCCGGCCGGAGGGTCCTGCGCCCTGCGTCCTGCGTCCGCCAAGGTGCCACGAGACGGGACCCCCTTCAAGGCCGGCGCTGGGCTCTCGGTCCTCCCTTTCCCCCGCGCCCCAGAGGCCGAGGGCCCAGCATCGCTCGGTCGCCGGCTCCCAGCTGCCCGGCACCTTTCGGCGACACCGTGCCGGTGGCCCGCGGTCCTTGCGTGCAGTCGTTCCAAGTCGGCGGCCGAGAAAGGACGTGGGTTTTTGTCCACTGGGACTCGGGGAGAGAGAGGGGCTCCTGCGGAACCGAGGCTGTGTACCTGTTGCCCGATCGGGTTATTTACACTGGCACACACCACTCTTGTTGTTGCCAGGACGACCCCAGCCTTGGGGACGAGTTTTGCCGGTGCACCCAAAATGTCTCCCCCGGTCCCCCCGGTTTGGGTCGTGGCGCCGCCGCGGGCTCTGTGAGCCCCGGCGTCGGCGAGCTCCCGGATCCGAGATCGGGTGGCCCCCTCGTGTGCTAGCAGTGGTTCCGGGGTGCCGCCTCGGGATGGGGGAAGCATAGCGTTTCTTCGAAGCTCCCCCAGCCCCGCGAAGCTGCCGGCTTCCTGCGTCGCCGCCGCTCTGACTCACCTCCTTCCTCCCCGCAGAGACCTGGGTGGCCTCAGCCCTTAGCTGTGGGCCCTCGACTCCGTCCTGCATCTCCCTCTCAAGGTGTGTTCTCAGGAGCTCTCCGCGCACCATCTTCGCGTCTGATTCCAGGACGTTTGCTTGTAAACAGCAATTTTTTTTTTTAACAGTTTGAAATGTTTTTACTACACTTGACTAGTAGTACAAACCGGTAATTACAATAGCCAAATCTCTGTATGATATATATTTAATATATTAAATATACAGAACAATAAAATAACCCCCCACTTTGAAAAAATATGGATTCACTTTTTATGTCATCAAATACAAGGCTCACATGTATAATGAAAGTTAATAATCTGTTCACGTGCCAAGGGACAAGGCTAAGCAGTAAATTAATATTTTTAAGTATATTAAACCAGAACAATTTCCTTTTTGAGTTTGATAAGCCAAACACTATCAAGGACTATTTCGAACCTGAATATAATCCAGTGGCTATGAAATTAAATAGGGAATTTGATCAGAAACAGGTAAGCATTTCTTTTTTTCTACTTTTTGGTCAGTTTCAGTTAGCAAATCAATGGAAAACTTTTAACTGTAACATTCGTTTTCATTTTGTTGAGCTTCAAGAACCACCTCTGCAGCCTGCCTTGGGAAGGTTACTACATAATCCGTGCATTCCTGCCAAAGATTAGCCATCTTCCCAAATTGGAGGGTTTCAGACTCACTAGGCTACTGTCTGGATCTGCAGCCTAAATAGCAGTTATTGAAACCACTTCCTCGAATGTTCCTTGATAGAAATTAATGTATTCTTTTTCTTTGTGTATTTTAATAGTGTCAGATACCAGAGTTAAATTGGGTATTTTAAATTAAACTAAATTTTTAAAAATTATTATTCTCAAAATATAGTTGATATACAATGTTATATGAGTTTCAGGTGCACAATATAGTGATTCAATAATTATATATTCTCTGCAGAGAAACTGGCTGTTCTTAATTGTAGTATCTGGATTCATGGGCCCTCTGGCTTTGATGGTCTCATCACTATCCTAATAGATTTAACTACCAGGAGACCTCAGAGGGAATGGTGACTTGATGCGGGTCATGTTTTTAGTGCTTATTTAAAGTCTTACTTGCATTATCTGCATTAATTTCAACATAAAAAGCTTAAGGCCAAATGTAACGAATGATTTTAGGCTCTACCTGATCCTGAAATCTGCATATTAGATCTTATTTTTCCACAGGGAAAAAAATATCAACAAGCCTTCCACAATTCAAAATTTGAAACAAATTTTAGGAAGAAGGAAAATCATAAAAGGATTAATTACCAAATTTTAGATTTAACTCCTTTATACCTAAGGCTTTTCATCTCAATATTTATTCTAAAATTGCCAATTTCATCTATATGTACCCAAACAAACAACAATGTAGATTTAATGAGAGTGGGATTGGATTGGGGGAACACCGTACATAAAAGAGGCTTAAGACATTCAAACTAATGTGTTGTTCCACATCTTACTCCACTTGTGCCCTTTGTCACCGTCTTTCCATAATGATTCTTTTTCCCTTATATCATTTTTTTAAAATTGTGGTAAAATTCAAATAAAATAAAACTACCCATTTTAAAGTATACAATTCAGTGGCATTAAATACATTCACAATGTTCTCCACCGTCACCACCATCTACTTTCAAAGCATACTCATCACCCCAAAATGAAACCCCCTTATTCATTCAGCAGTCACTCCCCATCCCTCCCTTGGCAACCACTAATGTGCTTTCTGTCTGTATGGATTTGCCTCTTCTGGATATTTAATATTTATGGAATCATACAATATGTGGCTTTTAGTGTCTGGCTTCTTTCACTTAGCATCATGTTTTCCAGGTTCATCCACTTTGTAACAACCATTAATACTTCATTCCTTTTTTGAGTTGAATAATATTCCTTTATATGAATATGCCACATTTTGTTTATTCATTTCTCAGTTGATGGAAATTTGGGTTATTTCTACTTTGGCTGTTGTGAATAGTGCTTCTATCTACATTTATGTATAATTATTTGTTTGAATACCCATTTTTAAAGGATTTTATTTATTTATTTGACAGAGAGAGAAACAATGAGAGAGGGAACACAAGCAGGGGGAGTGGGAGAGGGAGAAGCAGACTCCCTGCTGAGCAGGGAGCCCGATGTGGGGCTCAATCCCAGGACCCTGAGTTCATGACCTGAGCCAAAAGCAGACACTTAACCAACTGAGCCACCCACGTGCCCCTGAACACCCATTTTTAATTCTTTCAGGTATATACGTAGAAGTGGAATTCCTGGGTCATAGGGTAATTCTCTGTTTAATTTTTTGAAGAACTGCCAAATATAGCAACTGCATCATTTTACATTCCCATTAGTAATGTGTGAGTGGTCCAGTCTCTTCACATCCTCACCAAACTTATTATATTCCATTTTTTTAAGTAATCTCTAATCCCGACGTGGGGCTCAAACTCACATCCCCAAGATCAAGAGTCGCACGCTCCTCCAATTGAGCCAGCCCCTCCATTTTTTTAATTATAGCCATCCTAATGGGTGTGAGGTATTATCTTGTTGTGGTTTTGATTTGCATTTCCCTAATGACTAATGATACTGAGTATCTTTTCATGCTTTGTTGGCCATTTGTACATATTCTTGGGAAAAAACATCTAATCGTTTGCCTGTTTTTAATTTGGTGGTTTATTCATTGCTGAGTTGTAAGCGTTCTTTAAGTATTCTGGAAACTAAGGTCTTACCAGATACATGATTTGTAAATATTTTATCTCATTGTGTAACTTTTCAGTTTCTTAATAGTGTCCTTTGATGCACAAAAAGTCTTTGATTTTGATGAACTCCGATTTATGTAATTTTTCTTTTGTTGCTTATGCTTTGGTGTCATAATGAGGAATCCATTGCCAAATCCAAGATCATGAGTTTTCCCTTGTTTTCTCCTGAAAAGAAGGAATTTTATAGTTTTATAACTCTTTCTCTCTACATATATATGTATGAGTTTATGTAACTATATATAAATGAGAGTTTTATAATCTTAATTCTTATATCTAAGTATTTTTTCCATTCTGAGTTAATTTTTGTATATGATGTGAGGTATGTTTCCAACTTGATTCTTTTGCATATAGATATCTAGTTGTCCATCATTTCCTGAAGAGACAATTATTTCCCAACTGAATGGGCTTGGCACCCTTATCCAAAATCAATTGACCATAGATGTATGGGTTGATTTCTGGTTTCTCACTTTTTTTTTTTTAAGATTTTATTTATTTATTTGACAGAGAGAGACACAGCAAGAGAGGGAACACAAGCAGGGGGAGCGGGAGAGGGAGAAGCAGGTTTCCCGCTGAGCAGGAAGCCTGATGTAGGGCTCGATCCCAGGACCCTGGGATCATGACCCGAGCCGGAAGCAGACACTTAACGACTGAGCCACCCAGGCACCCCTGGTTTCTCACTTCTATTCCATTGATCTGTATGTCTATCCTTATGCCAGTACAATACTGTTTTGATTACTGTAGCTTTGTAGTAAGTTTTGAAATTTAGAAATCCGGCTTCTACAACTTTTATTTTCTTCTTTTTAAAGATTGTTTTGACTATTTAGGGATGCCCGGGTGGCTAAGTCAGTTAAGTGTCTGCCTTCGGCTCAGGTCATGATCCCAGGATCTTGAGATCGAGTCCCGCATCTGGCTCCTTGCTCAGTGGGGAGCCTGCTTCTCCCTCTTTCTCTGCCTACCGCTCCCCCTGCTTGTGTTCTCTCTCTCTGTCAAATAAATAATAAATAAAATCTTTAAAAATAATAAAAAATAAAGATTGTTTTGGCTAGATTCCCTTATAATTCCATATGATTTTTAGAATTCTTTTTCCTTGTATTTTTTGTTGAAAACCAGACATTCTGAATATTAGAATGTGACAACTTTGGAAATCACATTTTCTCCCCTCTCCGAGGTTTGTTGTTCCTGTTTGGTTGAACAGAATAGAAATACCATATAATCCAGGTTTGCCTATTAAGTGACTTTCTAAGCTATTTTTGTAATATCTGTATTCATTTTTTTTAAACTTCAATACAAAAAGATGAAAAATAAATAAAAATAAAATAAAAGAATAAAATTTCAGCATAGTTGACATACAATATGATGAGTTTCAGGCATACAACATAGTGATTTGACAATTATATACATTATGAAATGCTTACCACAATAAGTGTAATTATCACCTGTTTACCACACAAAGTTATTACAATATGATTGACTATATTCCCTATGCTGTACTTTTCATCTCCATGACTCATTTTATTTTATTCATTTATTTTTAAGTAAACTCGATCCCCAATGTAGGGTTTGAACCCATGACCTTGAGTTCAGGAGTCATATGCTCTACCAACTGAGCCA